TGACATATATTCCCACTGGAGAAAATATTTATTCTCCTTTCTCTACAAAATTTAGTGCATGTAGTCTGGATGATAATTTGGGACTACATTTTTTATGAAACGTCTCAAATATGAAACTAAACATTTGTGTTTGTCTGACCCTATTTGTAGTAGAGCAAAGTACAGAAGGAGTATGCATGGGAATATCATTCATCATCCTCCCTCCTTATATTTTAAACAAAACCTGACATTCTTGGTACTTGTTCACTTTCATTTGTGTTTATTTTTGTTGCTGTAGAAGCTATTTGATAAGTGTGTAACCAATGAATAGAAAATACAAAACTGCATTTTGCTTTTTGTTATGTATGAATGAGCACAGCAACACCCACGCTGGTCTGATTGCCCAGGCCAATGCTCTTCGCTCTGGTGGTTTGTAGGATCACAGAATATTGTCCAGCAGAAACACTGGGAAACAGTAGTAGAAAATGAATCACACACAACTCTACCTCCCTAGGCATATGGTGTGTGTTACTGTTGCTCTCAGAACTTACGGACAGTCAGTATTCTTGCAGGCAGGGATAGGGTCATGCTAATATTCTTCCTGTTTAGAATTTTAAATTAAAATGTCCTTAATAGGATCAGTTCTATACGATATTAAAGTTATGTTTGTATTTAAACACAAAATGTTCTATTTAGGAAGCCACCCTTATGGACCAGCCAGCAAAGAAAATTCTATAGAAAGAAAAAAGGGAAAAAAAAAATGCACCTCTTTTCTCATTTCTAATAATAACCAGGACTGGTATCTTCAGAGACACTGTAAAAAGTACAAAATGCATGGTAGTCAGGTGGATCTGTTACAGAGCTATATATGTTACTCCTACACCCCCAGAAATTAGTGCTAGGAATTCTTCTGCCCTGGTAAAGATGGTACATCTGTGGAGGTATACATCTGACCCTGCTATCCAAGGTTCCCTTGGTTGTCGATGTGTAGAAAGAGGCACTTGTGAGGCATAATCTAGCTTATACAAAAGCAGTAGTCTTCAGCTGGTCAGATGAACCATAGTACTGAAGTGCATGTTACTGTCTTTTCTGGGGAAGAGGGAAGTACAACTGATTTGCTAGCTTAGTTGTAGACATTTACAGTTAGATCAGACAAATTACATAACAGATTTTTGGGAGAATGGTAACACTGACTAGCCTTTTCCAAGGTAATAACTGAACTCTAGTCCCTGTGGCGCTCAAGGATTCTTTTTACAATGAGTTTAAATGGGACAAGATTGATCTGGCTTGCTGCATTTATTCAGTGCCTTGAAAGATGCAATTTGAGTGCTCAATCAATCAGACATGTCTACACATATTTAAAATAAATGAGTTGGGTTCGTTTTCCAAAGACATCTGTCTAGTGACATTTTAGACAACTTATATGGTCTCTGATGGCTTCTTTAGAAGGTCACGGCTCTTCCAAATCTCCAATGTCAGTGCCTGCTGGCCCTGTAGATGTTCTTCTGATGACACTGGGTGCTATATTTAGTCAATTGTATCTCAACAAATAATTCAAAAAAAGGCCTGTAAGCAATGTTAAAGATACACAATGTTTGTAGGAATAAGTGTCTTAGTTCCCCTGGGGCAATGTGTCCACAGCTGTGCACTGCAGCATCTGTCTCTGAAGGAAGTCACTGAGTCCAAATGGCCACGTGTAGAGAAAGGTGATAATAAACTGAGATACTATGTTATTTATGGACGGAGGGAGATCATGATTCAGGAAGCTCATCCTCAACTTACGTTGATCAACTGTTCCTAGCACTTATGAAAATATTCTCTAGCCAGTTTTATGTGGTGATGAGATGTTGAAAGGCTTAAAATCCATTCCGATCTGTCAGAAACAAATGTTCAGGATGGCCGCACCACAAAACTTCACTCTGATTCTACATGGGCTACATACATTGCCCAAGAACTGCTTTAGAAATGGTTTGCTCAACGTGGCAAATGCAAGTGCTGTAGATTTTAAATGGAAATGCTCACAACATCTGTTTGGTTTAGTGAATATTCTTGAAGGTGTATAACTGAAAATGACACGGTCTGATGCAAAGAAGCCAAGAAACATACACTTCTATTCTCCTTCCAACCATCACATAGTCTTTATTGAGCAGAATATGAAATTAAATCTGAATGGCATTTATCTTCTAAAATTAATTTTTTCGGAGCTTGTGTCAGATAAAGTGATAAAGTCCATTCCATCTTCTGTCTGACTTTTAACTGCTTGCTAATGCAGTATCTATTGCAGACTGCATATGGCAGGAAAAAAATGACAGAATACTCATTTGGATTCAGAGTAAGGCATCCAAAATAAATTTGAGGAAAATGACCTTAATTCAGCAAAGTGCTTCAGCTTTAAGCATGCAAATAGCCAATGAATCACATGCTTAAAGTAGCACTCATGTATGTACTTCTTGCTAAATTAGGCATAAATTACCTCTACATATCAAATGGCAGCAAAAAGCCCAGTAAAAAGACAAAACAAAAAACCCACAAAAGATAATCATGAAAGCTTTGGTTCGGAAGCAATGCTTTCTAAGATGTCATACAGTCCAAGTAAGGTCTGTTTTATTTTCACTCAGTCACTTTATTATTTATTGCTCAGTATCAAAGAAATAGAACTGACATTGATTAAAGGCCATTGTGAGTTGCAGGTAATATTCATATAATTCTTTGAATAGTATGATGGACATTGTAGGGATAAATTGAAATCATAGAAGACTGAAATAGGAGGGGATCACGGTATGATGCAATCATGTAAACAACAGCACATAAGTATAGATTAATACAGATTTCTTATGTCCACTTGACAGACCTGATCAAAAGTAGCAAATATTTTAATTCTAAAAAACACTTGAGTTTTTGCTGTGAACGAGTGAATATAAAAAAACCCCAAACTTTATAAAGCAGAGTGGATTAATATGTTTCTACTGCTTTTCCTCAGTCCTCTCACTGAGTTTATTGTTTACTTAGGAAAATGAGCTAAGCAAACGTTCATTGTTTGAGCTGAAAAAAAAAAAATTATAAATTGCTGATATTCCCACAGAAGATATGAAATCAGATACTTTTGATCAGCCAGGAGGACATTAATAATTGGTGTAGACCACTTATGTTACGAATGACCACGTTTCAGTAATTGACACCCCTGCAACTTCCTCCTCTGTAATGAAGTGATACGTAAGAGCTGCAAAATGTGTCTCTCAGAGAAACTGGTAACTTCTGGTCATGTGTAGAGTTGCACTGGATTTCATAAGGCTTTGAGAAAGATCCACTGTTCAAATAGGGCACCCCAACTATTGAGAACTGGGCTGTGCAATGCAGATTCAAACTGCCTCGGTATATGGAAGCAGGACTTGTAGCTTGTTTTTAGAAATAGTGTCAACTTTGCAAAGGCCTATACTGGCCTGGCAGCATGTGAATTTCTCCTTGCAGTATCATGATTTAGGACATCAATTTGGGGTTAATCACTGTAAAGACTGGCATTCAGGCTCAAGCTGGTCAAATAAGGCATGAATTCAGCAGGGAGCTTTGGGGTAGGACTTTATCTCTACATCATAATACATGCTAAACTGTTTAAGTGTATTTGGTGCAATTACATCCAATTAAATACTTGGAAATGAGGTTCCCTGTCTTTAAACATCGTAAGGCCCCCGCTCTACAACAGGATTGGCACTGGCTGACTTGTACAATTTGGTCAAGATCTACAGGTCCCGCAGACTGCTCTCCAGGTATGAAAAGGTTCATATGCCCAAAACATGTTTGAAGATGGAGTCTTACATGGACAAAGCAGAGCTGGCTGCACAGTCTCACTAGGATGGAGAAGATTTATGGGATGCTCAAGGTGGTTTATGCCAAGGAATAATTCATGTCAGTGTATTTACTGCTGAATCTGTGAAACTTCTATTTAGCAAATGAAGAAGACGCCTTCAATGTGTGACCAGAACGCTAAGATATTCAGTGCCTTTCTTTAACGATTTCCGGATTTTTGATAATTACATACTTCACTTCTACATGCAGTCTGTCCTTTCCTAGCATTTTCAGTCTTCAAGGGGTTAGTTAACTGTTTTATTTTTTATAAATAGCATTAATATATAAAATCTTTTAAGTGCAATAAACACAGAAAAATATAAAACATTTCAAGGCTGTGATGCTTGCCCATTTTCTGTATCACCAAATGAAGTTGTAGGAAACACAGAGGGACAGTTCCAAGAAGGCTTTGGAATCATAGGACCGACTATTTTTGTGAGCTATGACAGCAGCCATCACACCCAACATATGCTGAGAGATTTTGATTTGGTACAGAGAAAACAAAGGACACATGAGTTCGTTACTCTTTCATACGGGAAGATTGCACAGGAAGAGAAAGCTGCCAACTTCCAGGGCACAGTGCACTTCTCGAACTGATGTTCACATGGTGTCTCCAAACTGCTTTGTTATGAGGCTAAACACCAGGATCAAACACTTGAATTGATTGATTGATACTGGGGACGAAACTGTAGAACCACAGCCACACTTTACCACAAGCATTGGACTGTAGTATGAGGACAGTTTGAATGGTATTTCCCTCCCCTCCCCCCCTAAACACACTTCACACGAAAGCAGTCCAATAGTTTTCTAAGACACAAGAACAGGACATGAGCTTAGTCCTTCAGAACAAGCTGTCTGTCTCCATCAGGGTTGTAACAGCCATCTTGCAACAGAAATCAGCCCAGACTTTTTTTTTTCCTTACCTTATTCCTGTTAGTATCCAAGGACCTCTCATTTCCCTAGTGGTTTCTGACTTTACATTCTTTCAAACATTCGACTTTTCTTATTTCTTAGTGTTGCTGTGTCAGTCTAAATGTCTTTTTCTTCTTGTAGTTGCAGTTTTCTCACTATTTCCCTGAACATCTGCAAGACAGCCCATCTGGGTTGACACAGTGTGAGATGAGGCAGACAGGCATTGCCAACAAAGGGCTCCTACTGCAGCAAGTGGGCTGTTGAAATCAGATGTTTTCTAAGACGTCTATGGGGACAAAGCCTTTCTTCTTCCCGCTGTATACTTTGATAAAGCCATCATGTTCCTTTTCAGAAGTCACACAAATCTGAATGCAAAGAAGGTACGAAAATAATAAACTCTTTGCCATGATCAAAGCGACAAATTATTCTAGGCTATTTATCAGGTGGCTTAGACATCCTGCTAGTTACGTCTATAAGCAGAACAATCCCTTTTAGACTCTCACTGCTTTGATAAGAAACTCAGACTCACACATTTAGAATGTTACCTTTCACCCATCTCCCTGAAGTGCCACATACACATAAGAGACATTAAAATAATTAAGAACTCTATGGTAGATCACAGATTTTGAAACTCGAATTATGACTTCAGCCTACTGTAGAGATGGTGATTTAGTTGTATATGAGAGGAATGGGTATTTCAGATCATGAGCTAGCTGGCTCCTTCAGCAGTTGGTGGTGAAAAGTAATCATGAGACCAAGTTGGGTCACTTGTAGCAGCTGATCTGAATGCAAGCATATTCTCTTCCGCATGTTTAAGGAGCGCAGGTGCTTCTCAGATGAGCAGTGGGTTATGTTATTTACTGAGCCCTTGCACCTGCAGGTATCTTGTTTTGGATAGCAAAGTATGTGGTCTGAATCCAGCTCTGTGATTGTGTTTGCATAACCCCTACTCTAAATGAGGCAGTTATGGCGAAACCATATGGGCTTTACAATAGCATAAGTATTACATCATGGTAAAGGCTTGCATTTCCTGAAGACCTTTGTGATCTCAGGTGTTTCCACTTCAGGGCCATTCCTGGTAACGGGCAAGCCATTTGGAAGCCTAGTGGCACATATACTTTAGACTGGGCACTTGAGCACAGAGCCACACAAAATAAAGAACTGTTTGCAAACATCTGTGCCAAACTGTCTATCTATCTCCTGCTAATCAACCAACCTTAAAAAATTAGCAGAAAACGGATGGTCCTATTGAGACCAACTTGTTGACTTCTCATGATGTCAGTGCCAGGTCTATAAAGCCCTCTGTCTGGGCTAACATTCACAAAGGCTCTGATAGGTATTTACAGTGTTTAATTACAATAATTCAGAGGGTATGAAATGAACAAAAAAGGTTCTAATGTGTTCCTGGATAAATCCATTTCAGCCTGACTGTTATGGATTGTTTGGTGACACCTAAATACCACATCTGAATTCTGGGCCAGCTTGTCCTTCTCTTGTTACATACATTTACCAGCAACACTGATGCTGCCAGAGAGAAATGAAAGGTCATAGGAAGGAGGTGAAGTTGCTTCATAGTTCCCACCTTGTTCCCATATTTGGAAATGGTCAGGTGCATCTCTGTACCTGCAGAGTCTTGGAAAGCAAATGGTTTCATTATTTTTATTACTTAAGCTACCCACTTAGCACTAACCAAATTGGATCCCTGGGGCAGAATGACTAGAGCTGACATGCAACTAAAAATATGTATTGTTTGGGCTAAATCACATGGAAAACATGGGAGAGGTATGGAATTGATGCCATTTAGTTTAGGTTCTGTTACAAAACAGTCAAGCTCATTTGTGTCATGAATGCCTAGCACAGCAGCTGCTCCCTCTGCAGTCATGTCACCATTCGAAGCAGAGAGGTGTAAAGCACATGTACACAGAAAGGTGTTTCTGACTGCTGCTAGATGTTGGTCTGTGTCTCTGAGAAAGACTATGAAAACTTCAATGATGACAGAAAAAGCCTGCAAAGAAACATAAGACTAAGGATAGCCGAGCATGGCACAGTATCCAAAAGTGAGAAAGAGCATCTTGGCTGAAAGATGCCCCTTCTCGGTTGATCCTTGCTGCTGTGTGGGAAAATGAGCCTTTGCAACTTCTCCATAAGTAGGCCTGGCTGGTTAAAAGGAATGCCTGACTCCACCACTCAGCTTTCCTCCTAACTAAACGTGTCTGCAAGACCTCTAGCTGTTTGTGTGGGCCAAAGAATCCCCAAAACAGTAGGTCTCCAGAAGGCACGCCCAGCAGGTCTGCACTGCTCACTAACCATACTGCATTTCTTGCTTAGCTGGTACTGTGCAGAACATATTACAAGAACAGAGTGCTTTCCCCTGATGTCTTGTACTGTCAGCAGAATGGTTTGTGGACACAAGAACAATACTGAGCTTTCTGAACACTGGTTTTCTTTATCATTGGAGTGAAAAAGGATGGCAGATTTGGCCTTTTTTTAGAGGGTTTTTTTTTTTTTTGGTTCTGCTGCTGATTTGAGTGCTCCTTGATATCAGTGGGAGTGCTCTGGTGCAGCAATAACTCCAGATCTTCACTGGGCATGATGAGTACAAGGCCTATGTGTAAGAAACTGCCTCACTTTACATACTAATGCATTGATCTGAATTCTCCCAAATTCCAGCTGAAATTCTCTCACACTAATACACTAAGACTTGCATGGGCTGGCCCCCAGATGGCAGAGTTTTTTCTCACTTCTTCCCAAAGAAGGGGATGGGTCAGGGGCAGAGCGAGCTTGGCCACAATATGCCATACTTCCCTAATCCTGTGCGACTCAGGAGGTTTCCTGGGGCTGTGGCAGCTACTGGAAATTTGCAAAAACCTGGAGCTGCTCCAGATTCTGCAGTTTCAGAAAAAAGGGAACACAACACCATGTTTGGTCTCTTTTGTCCTCATCCCCTTTGGAGAGTGCTGCCAAGGATTTCACCCAGAAGTTGTAGCCTTGGGCTTTGGCTCTTGACTTTCTTTGGTGGTTATAAATCAGGAGTAACCCCAGATAAGTGTATGGTAGTATCCGGAGTTTTGGCTCCACCTGATGAATCAGCTATTGCTGAGGACTAGCCCTGGTAACAGACAGCAAACATTACAGTTGTGAAGGCACAAGGTGCCACAGCTACATTATGTGATCATCACGGTATAAAATTGGAAACTGCTTAAAATGGCAGCTACTCAAGCCGGCATGTTTTGGGGGGAAGGCTTCTGGCCTGACAAGGTAAGTGAGCCACTGAGCAGACACTCTCCAGTGAATTTGATAGGAGCACAAATGGAGATATATGTGGTTTGTTTCCCCTGCACCCTGGATCAAGAGGTCAGTAGTGGAGTAAGTCACAGGGTAAGAAATCACATCTCAGGCTATTTCTTAGTCATCAAGTGATTTTCAGAATTAGCTGAAAGCGGGATCTAATATTATAAAGTCGCTTCCCCATTCTTTAATCTCATTTTGTTTAACCCCCCCCCCAAAACACTAAAACCAAAACAAACAACTATTCAGATCATGACTGTTGTCTGAACTTGTCAACATCTGCCCTGAGGATTTTTTATCCGTCAGTCAGACCCAAGCAGATGGGGGAGGGAAGCAATTAGGAAATGACCCTTTAAGCTGCACGGTCATTAGTACTCTTCTGTTCTTCTGAGTCCTGTATTTTGAATTTGGGATCAAGTGACAAATTCTCTTTGTCCAGGAGTAATTTTGAACTTGCTTTAATTTTATGCTGCTGTCTTTTGCTTATCTTTTCTCTCCCATATATTTAAGCCATCTGTCAGACACAGACTGGTTCTGATAAAGTAGGAATTCGGTTATGAGGACAGTACACATTCAAAAGCTGTCCTGGAGCTTGCAGACAGTGCTAGGTCAAGAGGTTTGAAAGCTCAAGTCTTCTGTTTGTCTGTAAGAATGACAGCACAGGGACACTGTGAGTTTCTACATCTGCTGCTGCTCATGCACTGAAGTTCTTGCTTACTTGAGATTTGTGGGTAGGAAATGCTAAGTAGTTCAGTTTTTATACCCCTTTAGCCACAGTGCAAATGATGATGACAGGTTATATATCAGCTGTTTCATTAGCTTTTGGACCGAGAACAACAGCTTATTTTACCTGCTGCACTTATTTAGGGTTTTAAAGATGACCTGGACTAAACTGGATGCATAATTGGCTGTGCCATGTTTTGGACTCTTGTAAAACTTGTGTGCCACTCAGTATCTCCAAAAGTATAGAGACACCCACACTTGTTCAGTAAGACTGATGTCAATGAAAATCAGAGATAGCTGGAAAAAGACCCTTTTCCCCTTAAGCCTAGCTATGAAGTGCAGCAGTTATAGCTGGGGAGCACATGAAGAACTGCAACATCATTTTCTGCGCTAGGTTTGTGTTTTAAGTGATTTAGTCTGCATGCATAAGTCACTGTGATGCAACTGGTTTTCAAAAGCAGCTGAATCATGATCTTAGAAGTTCAGCTCCTTTTTAAGTATCCCAGGATGAAAAATGTGGGGACATAAAGTAATTCCTAGGCAGTGAGGTGAAAAGCCAGATAGCAACAAAGCATCAAGACCTGAGACAGGTGGATCCCCTTGTCTGGAGACCTGGGCTGCAATCCTGCCTTGATGAGCCTAGCCTCGTGGATATGTTTAAGCCCATTCACAGGCTCTCCTGAAGTGACTGGATCATATTTGCACGTAGGTCCTAAAATACACATGCCTGAAAGTCACTCTTTTTGAAATTTTTGAGACTCATTGTTGGGGTAGGAGAGAAGTTTGTCCTCTGCGCTGTGGTGCCAAGGGGACAGCAAGGCTCATGGCTCTGGTTTGGAAGTTGTGAAATGGTGGTGGTTACAACAGCAGTGGCCTATTTGCAGTCATTGCAGAAGCTGACTGGGAGATGTTTTTGGTAACGGGTCTAGTTTACATCAGTGACATTTATAAAACACATTCATTGCAAAATGGATCTGTTGTACTGACCTTTACGTAAACTCAGTCCTGGATGAGGCAGAGAGTTTCTGATTGCCAGTGTTGTTACAAATGTTGTGGTTTGGGGTCACTTCTGTTGCACAAGATTGCTTGGGCAATTTAAAATTCATCGTGTTAATTAATCACAAAAAGCCCAGCTCTGAAGTGGTTTGTATCAGTGTGACTGTAGAAGTCATAGAGGCAGCCAGTGAAGGGTATGAGTAGTTTTTTTTTAAAGAGGTTATTTCCTTTATTTAAGTAGGATATTATAAGAGGAGTAAAACCAGACATTCAAACAATAGGTTATTATGACTTCTCTAAAAATAAGGATGACCAAAAATGTTAGAGACATTTTAAGAGATGCTTTTCCAAACATTGATGTTATATTAAATAAGGTGACTTTTTCTTTTGTGAAAAGAGGTCAAATCAGAGCCTGTAGTCACGCAAAGAAGCATTTGTATAATGTGTGGTAATGAATTCGAGTAGGCTAGAGCAGAAGTTACAGGCTGGAGAAAACTTTACATACCCGAGTGATGGTACCATCAATCAGAGTTGGAAATTATGCAGCCAGTATTGTGTGTGAGACAGCTTAAAAGAGTGGAAAGCCACAGAAATTGGCTGGTTTTTGTTTTCCTGTTAATAATCTTGCTTTGTTGATGTCAGGAGCTATGTCTGCTACCCTCCCACAGATTCCTGATTGAGCCCTGTGGTGCACAGTCATCTTCTGATTTGGTTTCCCACAAATCTGTCAGTGAACCCTAAACTCCAAGATGTTGGTGTCTCTGAAGCAGTACACTTTTTGTCCCCCAGGTTGGGTTTCATATTTCACAATGAAATTTTTAAGGGATCCTTTGTGAAGACGAGCTCACTCATCTTGCTCAAGATGGGTGAGCAAGTTGTGTTGTTTTTCCCTCAGTCCTCTCCTTGAGTATTGGCTAGAAAGGTTTGCATGAAGCTGAAGCTCAAATTGTTATTCCTGGGGCATGAAACTGCCAGGTGTTTCCAGAGAAAGCCTCACCCACTGTGCTTCAAACTTTGAAAATGTCTCTGCTTGCCTGAAATGGCTTTTCTTAAGGTAGTCATGTGGCTTTGTTCATGTGAATATATTGCCTTTTGCCTTACAAGAATAGACTCTCTACCTGGGAACATTTATATAAGGCACAAAGGGGATAGAGTCCTGCAGTACAAACTATGGATGGTATCCAGCAATATAATGAAAATTCAAATTACTGTCACTGGATAAGTTTTTCTGCTGGCATATCATCCTTGCTTTTGTTGTCAGAATGGTTCTGGACTCTTGTTGGACACCATAGAATATGACCCAGTGAATTAACAGTATAAAATTCAGACAATTTGCCATACTATAGTCATAAGAATTTATTAGACCAGTTAATGATTTTTTCTAGCTAAAGTGAGACTTGACAGGAATTGGTAGTAATGAATAATCTCTCCTATTTACTAATCTGGACCAAGCCAGTGTTTTCACGTAGTGCATATATTGCACACTCATAGCACTGGACACTGTGTCCAGAGACAGCTAAAACGTCTGGTTACATCCCACAGAAATCCCCAAATATGACCAAAAAAAAAAAAAAGAATTCTGCTGAACTTTTCTCAAAAGTCCCATTCCGATAACTTTTTTTCTTTTTATGCCTTCCCTATTACACCCCTCTCTCTGCTTCACAGGGGGAAAAAAAAAAAGGAAATAAAGGACAGAAAATAAGAGAAAAGGCTGAAGAAAGAAGAAAGGAAATTTGACTTTGGAAATATAAAATATATTTTTAGAGCAAAAAATTCCCGATAACAGCTAAAATGTTTTTCGCAATGAGTTTTTCCACAGTGATGGCAAAGTTGTTCTGTTAAAAAGACAGGCAAAAAATTGTGCCATTCAAGCAGTGATCTCCATGACGGGCACATGACCCACAGGCTAGCCTTGGCAGACTGTGCTGTCCTCATGCTGCTGCTAAAAGCTGGTCTTATGCATGCTGCCAGCTCTCACTGGGTGCTATTATGGGGGTCTCAAACCCTGTATGGAGGGACAGCAGGAAGCAGATGAGTGTCCATGGTCTTGCTGTGACTGTCCTGCCTGGAAATTACTCAAAATGACCTTGAAGCTACTTGAATGTCCCTTTTTTGCATAATTTGTGCAAGGGTATCTGTTCCAGATATCTGGAGTGATGTCTGTTGGCTCCACACCTTTCCTTTCATGTCTCTGCATTTGTGTGTTTGTTCAGTCTGACTGCTGCACCTTCTTTGACACCAAATATTAATTTATTTCTTCCTTTGAAGCCTCTGCCACGTGGAATGATGACCCGACAGCGTTCACATTCAACCTTAGCGTTTGCATGGGTTTGAGAAAGAGTTGAATAAGTTTGCTAAAAAAAAGGCAACAGTAGACAGACAGGACAATTCATCCCTTTCTTTACCTCCTGCCCTACCAGAGATGATGACATGCCCAATCATGAGCTCCCTTGTGAGCCTATTATGAAATAGGGACAATAGGAAATCCTTGTGTTTAGATGAAGCTGACAGACCTGCCCACTTGGAAGCTGTGGTTTTGTGAGAAATGAGACAAGAAAGCGGGCCCTCACTGTTTGCAGCAGCAGCCACACTAACAGAGAGGATCTGGTATCCCTACTGATGAACAGGGACTCAGACCTTGACCATTCTGTCATGCTGGCACACCATATCCCCACACTACCGTTTCCTCAAGATTTGTCCTTTTGTATTGCCTATTCTAGAGCACAAAGTGTGCAAAACCTCTTGTTCTGCTTTGCTAATACTTTTTCCCTCTCTGTGCACATATATAAATAATCAAAAGAGGTGCTGGGTAAAAAAAAATTAAGCACTTCCTCTCTTTATAGCAACTTCAGAATTGCCCAATATACTATGTGCGCAGGGGCTGTTAAAATACATTCTGGTCACTGTATTGCTGAGCCTTCCTTAAAAAGCTGTGTATACCCAAGGATTATTCGCATTTGTATGTTATGCCATGCCACAAGACAGCAACAGCAAAGGTGTAAGCTAATCTTATGCACCAGTGGAGTGAAGTGTTACACAAGTTCTGCGTGGAAAAGTCTATGGCCTTGAAGTCCACTGTGATGCTGACTTCTGCTCTACTTTATCAAAATCAGTGTCTGTTCAGGCACTGTAAGGCAAACGATTCCTGGTGATGAGACAATTGCCAAAGGAAAGGAAATACCAGATGATGTTGAAGAACACTGGGCTTCACAAGATGCACTGAGAAAAGTCTAGCTTTCTATTTCGTCCAGGTGTCAGAGAACTCAAGCTTGCGTCACCCTTAGTCAACCATCCTCCGGTTTACATCAGCTTATGCCATAAACCTGACCGTCCCTTGATTCAGGTTTTGAGCCATATTCTCTCACTTTACCCCAGCAAGCACTTATAGCAGCATCACAAGTCTTGACACTTGGATGTATTAAATGTCTGGTAAAAATTGTTTTAAAGTCACATTTAAGATCAGATCAAAGACAAACCTCATAATGGTGGCCATGGCTTTCACGTAGTGAAACCACCTGAAGGACACAAAGTAGAAGGAGCTGCTGAAAGTACATCAGGGGGAATGGACCCTGTGAATCCTCACTGTACATGGTGTATTTTAGCTCACAGCACTAGTTTGGAAGAAATTACAGCCTGTAGAGAGGATGTGTAAGTGGTGGCACAAGCAATTAATGATTAAAGATACTTTGCAACTGGTGAACAAGAGTTAAATTTAAGATTTACATGTTTGTTTGGTGCTGTCTTAACTCTGTTCCTGTTGAACCAAAACAAAGGGCTGTGTTTAGATCTTTAGATAAGTTAAGGTCTGGGGAGGGAGCCACTGTCTTTTTTTGATCAGCTCTAATAGTGACAAAAAAAACAGATAATTTTTTAGGCACACAAGATCTCCCTTTAAGACTGTGTTCTTCAAGCTGTACCTCTGAAGTCAGTAGGAGAGTGCATAATATGTAAAGTAGCTTTATGAATGTCTGTGAGACTGAAAATTTAGGTTACATTAGGCAGGGAGCATGCATTTGCACAAGGCCAACACTGCTTTTAACTGGCTACTAGAAGCTTACCATACAAATAATAAATCTTGTAGTAAAATTGCAGTGAACAGCATCTGCCTGTGCTCATCTTGCACAACTTTTCCTCCGGTCATTGGTTAAACTGCTGGATGCTCAAGTCTGGTGGGGATCCAGCACAGGGGGGCTTACCTGGTTCTCTTTCAGAGTTATCTGTCCCTGTTCCTTGCAGCCAATGAATGTCCTGATACACCTGTAAATCTTCTCATCATGCTGCACTCTTTGAACAAAATTAGCGGGAAAAAATCCAATTCTGTCATCAATTTTCCCCTGTGGAAGAAACATGGTGATAGAAAAAGATTGTTAACACTAGTAATTTATTAAACATTCAGTATTGAAAATAACGTATTTTTCCCTTTGGGAAGAAAACAGATATAAAATAATTAGCACATACCTTCCACCAGTCTTCATTGGAGTCTTCCAAAAGAGTGATCATATCCCCTGGCCTGTAATTAGAAGAGCAATAATAGTCAAGATGACTCTTAATTGTTATGCTGCGTCAGCTTCCACGATTACCTTCTAATAGGGAGGTGGTCCTTTCCTGGTCATTTTATCTGAGCATTTGCTGCAGGTAGACTCAATGAGGCAGCAAGGTTTTCTTCAATCATATACGGTAATGTAGAAAGAGAGTCTGTATATTTGGGCTAGACCTTTATTTTGAGACAATGTCTGTGAACTGGAATTTCTGCTTCCTGTTTAATAAGAAACTGTTTAAAATACAGTCCCTATTTGTTACAGGCATTATCTTGTTACTTCAAGACATTTCACATTGTTGGGACACACCATTTTATCATCTGTGTTTTCAAGCTGTGATTGCAGACGGAAGGCAGCAGGAAAGTAGTTCTATTTAACTGTCAAAGGCAATTAGTCAGCAGCGATATAATCCTGCCCAAGAATGTCTTTTTGATTTGAATGGGACGTATTTACCTTTATAATGTGTGGTGCAGGGTTGTAATTGCTAAGTATCAGCATCCAGCTGACTAGCTCCAAAGCAGAGCTAAGAGAATAATTTGGCTGGAAATTCTAATAACAAAATGTGCTGAGCTGATTTTGTGCAGGTATTTGAATGGTTATTTGACCTCCTTCCCCCCATTGGTGGCATTTCATCAATGTTATTATGTAATTACAATAACGCTGTGTTGTAGAAAGTAAGCAGCAGCCCACTTCCAAATGGATTAACTTCAGAAAACCCTGTCTGGTTCATAACAGACATTTCTTTGATCTTAATAAAAGTAATGGTTGACCCCTAATTATTCAGCTTTCCTTGCATTCCCTGTTAGGTTCACTGTATTGTTGAGTTATCAGCACAAGAGCTTGCAAACGTGTCTGGAGCATATGATGGGTAATGGGTCCAATTTAATGGGCTCTTTCGGAGCACACGTAGAACATGTGGACCTGTCCAGGATGCAGCTAGAGGTGGGGGTGGTGGTGGGCCTCTTTGGTCCACTTTCCAAGTGGTTATCATTACTGCTGACAACTGGAAAAACAGGTATTTAGTCTTGTAACACTGTGTGATCTGAACCAGAGTTTTCCACCTTTCAGAGAAAGGAGCTACCAATAGGGTAATAGGGTAGGATTTTGCTCAAGCCCTTCTCAGGAAGCTGTTCCTATATGTTTGGAATAATTAAACGATGCTGAGGTGTGAAAGGAAGGTAGAGAAAAAGGACAACTTGGTATCCCAGTAGTAAAAGATTTTTTCCATGAGAAAGGACATCTGAGTCCCTTATTACTTATTCCTTTATTAATATAAAACACAGAGGTTTTGAGGGAGCCCATCTTGCCACTTCAAAATAAATAGGCTGTAACACCATTACAGCCTTTACATTGCAAGGAAGAACACTTACAAGAGGATTTAGAGAGCCCCGTCCTCCGAATACCCTTCAGTCTGGTTGTTAGAAAAATAACTTAGAAAATAAAAATCTATTTGGCTGTCAGAGAAAGACGACAACTGAACCTAAAGTCTCTCTGTGTCAGTGGTCTGAGCATTGAGATTTTTGCATGCAAGACTTGCAGATTTTGCTTTCTGATATTTTTTTAGCATAAGGCTAACATAGATGTCTCTAATCTCCAAAAAGGATTAAAAATAGAAGCACCAGCTAGATCTATGTTACTCTTGCTGCCTAGACTTAGGCTGCTAAGTCCTGAAAGGGGGCAAACTGCTTGGTGTTTCCTACTGGTTGAAATTGCTCTCAGGTCTCATTTTTCTTCTTCTGTAAATCACAATCACAACCCTGGATAAGTTGTCTGCTTTACATCAGGGCTCTTGATTTCAGTAGGTGGCAAGATAGGCACTCATCAACCTGAAGTGCCCAGGCAACCACCAATGATCATTGTACATTATTTCCAACTGTTCTATTCATTGCAGTGTCTGAAACCTGGAGTTGCTTGTCTCCAGGATTCTCTACTTGTTGTAATATAAGGCCATCTCATAGAATAAGCTTATTACTGCAATGTCCTATTTTACTTATGCCAGAGCTTTGGAAAACCTGACTGGCTGCTCCTGCTGTTGAGGAAGAATTCAAAGTTGTGGCAAGTACTAATTGGTGCTGAAATCAGGGCTGGCACTTCTTCACTGCAGTAATCTGCTACCCATTACATCCACTCAGAGGTGAACCGAGATCTCCAGAAATCTTCCCAGCTCAGGTCCCTCCCTTCCTACTTGCCTTCATTATGTTAGGGCTGATCAGTGCCCAGCTCGTCCCTAACCTGGGTTCGTAGGACAATGCTTTGTTAGTCTTGACAACATTGCTATGCTGAACCCATCTCCAGCAACTCAACTATGTTAAACGAAGATTCATACAACTGAGCTGAATCCTGCCTGGCTCTGCAGTGAGCAAACAACATTACTAGCTATTTCGTATCCCTTATGAAACAGCGTCAACCCCTGTATTACTGAATTTCCGGCCATGTGACAAACAGCACTGCTGTAGCTGAGTAACACCAGTCTAAAACCTGACTGGTGTCTCTGGAAGGAGCCTCTTAGTCATGACAGTCCCAGCTGCAGACCGCATGTTGCTTTTTCCCCTAATATGAGGGGCAGGAGAATTTTGGAGAATGATGTGTTTTCTGGATCACTATGTCTTGATGAGGATGGTAGTTTAATGCAGGCTTGTCCGAGTGGTGGTGTTCCTCTTCATGGAACAAACGTGCAAGCTGGAATACCCCCTAAAGGAGCAGGATGCAAAGTGGAATCCCTCAAGCAGAATAGCTGGCAAGTTGTCCTGAAGGTCTCCATACCCTGTAGTTATTTCTTGAAAAGCTGACATTTCTAAAATAATGATCAGGAAATGCCAGCAATGCAGAATGATAGGGAAGCTTGTAATTTCTGCCTTACATGTCACCTGTTAGTTCCAGAGTGACGAGAAGGCACAGCTGGGAACAGGAAAAAGGCTTTCAGTGAAGGAGATGCTGACAACAGGGGCATTTCTCTGGCAATTCCCTAAATTCTGTTGCATGCACATGATCATTTTGATATAAGGGATGCCTTGAAGACAGCTGATGCATTTCACGACAAGAGCTCTAACAAGACTGTGCAAAATGTGAGTAGCAAGAGTCAAACAAATCGCACTAAAAGAAAAGATGTCCTTTCAGTTCAGTGGGCTTGGATTAGATCTCGCAGTGCTAGCAACTGATGCAGAACCGAGGAAGAAACTGTTAAAAATTATAACTAACAAGATTATTTTGCAAAGCTCAGAATGCGTCTTTCTCATGTGAAAGCACTGCCATCCAGCAGCCGGACATCATTGTCTTTTCTCAGGCATAACCTTAATGTAAAGGAAAAGCACACAGGACTGGCAAAATATTCAGCATTAACATGAGAGCTAGTGAGGAATTCCTAGTTGAAAAGTTCTGGTTGAAAAAACAAAGCAACCGGAAAATGGAAGATTTTCTAGCTGAAATACGTCTTGGTCCTAAAGTGACATAAGTGTTTTTGAAACCTTTTACCTACTGTGTCCTTGCCAAAAAAGCTGGTCACCAGCTTTTTATCTATAAGAGTATCTTTGTATCTACCTCTATAAAAAGTGTTTAGTACAAAAGTCAGAATGAATCCTTCCTCCCCCGAAGTCATATACAGCCATGCGACCTTCAGTTCTCATGGGACAAATCAAGTCACAAATATTTTGGGGTTTTACCTCATCTCCAAGTCTTCGTTTTCTTGTGGTACAAATTTGTACAAGGCAACATAGGTGTTCATCTGTAATGTGCTTTTATAAAATGGTCCCTTTAAGAAAAAAGAGAAAGAGAAAATTTAAATATCTGTCCTGTACAGGAATTCAGTTAATTTTATTAGAGACAGAGGAACCAGGGCCTGATCTTCCAAAGAAATGAGCCAAAATCATCTGATTGCTTTCACACCTTGGAGGACTACGGCGCAGCTACATTGCGAGCCACTAAGGCAGTAATTACCTTAATTTAGAAATAAGATTATTTGAACCCCAAGATCAAATTCCAGGCTTCCAAAGAACACAAGTACAAATCTGCACGAGTTGGTCTTTTGGGTGAGATCTTAAAAACTACTCTGCCTTTTTCTCTTTGTTAATGTATGACTCTTACAAGCCCAGTTGTGTATTAATGGCATTATATAAGGTGTCTATTATACAGTCTTTGTTATGGATGGAGCTAGACTTGTACAGTGCACAGGTCCAAAAAACAGGGTGGGAAAATCAGTTTCTTAAACAGAAAGCTGCTTGCACTGGGCTTCCCACAGAGAAGACTGGCTACTCTCTCTCCTCACTTTCTCCACTGGTAATCTGGAGAAAAAAGCGCACCTAAACCAAATCCCAAATAATTTTCTAAATCAAAGCTGTGATTTTTACAGTACTGCAGTGCTATTGTAATGACATGGACTCCATCCACACTGGGTCTTTTATGTTCACAATGTCAATTTGTAATAAACAGAAGAACATCAAAGGGACCAAAATGGGTAAGCCATCCAGTCCTGTATATTGCTTGCAACTGTGGCCAGTGGCCCAGACATGGTATGCAAATATGACAGTCAGATACCGATGTTTCTCCAGAATAGTGCCCCAGTCGATCTACTCAAGACCCCCAGCTATCCATAAAAACAACACTTTTATATGACTTTCCATTGCATTCTCACAAAATTTATGCCCGTACCGGGGAATGTATAGTTTTTGGTTCTTCTCCAGAGTGTTCTGTGCCATTTTCGGAGTATGTAAACACTGAAATAAAGCAAACACACGACATTTTAGGAGTAGTTTAAGACTCTAGTTCAACAGGATCACCTTTATTTTGTTAATCTCTTCCCTTTCCCACTTAATTTCTTTGATGCCTTTGTGCTCTCCTCTGAACCCTTCTACACCCCCAACACCCCCACGTATGCCACTGGCATATTGCACACAATACAATCACTGTCCTGAAGAATTTACAATTGTAACAAATAAACCATTTTGATCAGATGAATATATACAAGTACAGCAAAGGAATAGAACCTAGGTCCCGTAAAGGCATTACTATTTGAAGTTCAGCAGCCTTTTCCTTACACTGATCACTGTATTTTCATGTTTAGGACGAGCAGTATTTCCATTTAAAAGCACCTGCAAAACCATATACGAGCAATCTTGCGGGAAGTTTGTATGCAAAACCCCTTCTTACTCCTCTTCAACCCTCTGTCGCTAAATGTTTGCTAGCATTCTTTGATCTCTCTCTCCAGGAGGCCCCGCCTGGGGGGCATTGGATATGCTGCCTCTCCCTCTGATTTTATAGGGAGTACCTGAATTGCTTTCAAATCAGGATGGGTTTTCTGAGACACAGGCCTGTATGTGTGAAAATTTGCTTCTAAGTTACTAAATCAGAAACTCATAGAATAAAACAATGGTCACGACACATAACATACCTGATATCTAATCAGTTACCCTCTACTGTAATTGCTTCAAGAGCTGACTGATGCCTGTTCTCAGTTATCTTGCTAGAAAAACCACAATGGCTTTATTACATTGACTGAATTCCCCCTTCACATTTTAAGACTTGTCTGGTGTTTCTTTCTTCTACATAAAGTCTGAATATGATTTTAACAGCTAGAGTCTTTGAGCAGCTAGAACTATCAGCATCTTCTCCCACCATTTACCTCTGCAGGTGTTTTGAGCAGCAGCTGGATTTCATAGTCTCTGACAATTTTGAAATCTCCAAAATGGTAGTAAGTAGCGGGCTGATTGAGTGCATTTTCCTTTTGTTTCTCTGTGATACAGTTACATGTGTTCAGGTGAAAGAAGGTGCCAGAGAACACCAAACTGCTGGATTTCTTTCCCCCTCTGCTCTTTCACTTGCTCATCCTACAATATTGTAGTCATAAAGTTCAATGTGCAAATATGGAGACTGCATGTGAGCTGATACCTGCAGCTTTTAATCTGAAAATGCCCCAAGTTTTGTCCAGATGGTCTGATTGCAGCTGACCTGGGGGCCTCACTGTGCTGCTCACCAAGTCCTGTTGTAGAGTGACTCCAACCCTGCAAACTGCCACGAGTACCAGAGGGAAAACCTTAAAAATAAAATTAATTTTCTGTATCTTCTAGTATAGGTATATATGTATGTCTGATATCTAATTAAAAGGGTGTAAAATGCTGCTGTTACAATCTGGCAGTGTCTAAGTCCTGCTTAGATAACCATGCTGTGTTTTTGTGTCCAGAGGAAAAGGAGTTAGGGAGGCAAATAGAAGAAGTTCTGGTGAATAATGAGTTGGGTAATCAGGAGCATTTTGGACTTGCAGAAAGTCATCCGTCAGACTGAGTGCAAGTATTTCATCATCACGTTCAGAGTAATTTCTGCTTGGTGACAGAAAATAAAGCTGAGTTACTAATGTACAGCCTTGTGAGCTGTGGAGCTGACCTAGCAGGTGGGGAGGGAGCTGGCCTGTAGCCTTGTATTTGCCAAGAAGTGCTCACCAAACTTGGGTTTGCAGGGAGGACATCCCATATTTGACTCGAGGGGAAAGTACTTAAATCCCTGTTGATAACAAGATCACACATGCCACTTGAAGCAGATTTTGGCTTGCGGGATTTCTGTTACAGATGGCAATTCACAGCAGTGCAGGAGTATAACTGGCTTAGAGGAGGCTGAAGGACTGGAAATTAGGTATGCCATCTTACAGTTGTAAACTAGGAAGCTTTGCTTCATCATAGGTATGCCAGGGCCTGAAAGCAAGAATCGTCCCTTGAAGTCGTTGTCATAGGAGCAATTACATGGCCACGCATGTGCTAAGTCCTTTCACCCTTCTGCTGGCTGTATCTTTTCTGCTATTTCTATTTAAGCGGAGTCTCAAATGTATTTTCCTAAGATCTTATTTGCAGAAGACAGTTTTTTAACAGAAAAAAAAACCCCACAAACTGGAATGGACCTGATTCATCAAGGTATTAATGTGGAAGGAAATGCCTGCTAAAGAGGCAGTGGACAACTGAGGAAAAAAGTGGTGAATCACTCTGTAACAACATTTTGAATTTACATTGTTAAATTTTTACTCTCTGGTTAGCTCATGGTCTCTGGATAGTACTAGGAAACACTTGAATCTGAAGGCCATAGAGGTACGTAGTTCACATCTCCACACAACAGAAATCTGTCAGTTTTCACATTTGTTTCCCCTAAAAGCAGCTGACCAAAAAAAAAAATAAAATAAAATAAAATTGGGTATTTTTACAGTCTGAAAAGGTTTTTTATGATTTCCACAGTTTATGCAAACAGTGCGGGCAGTCTATTAAAAATCTACCGAGGGGAAATTTTTGGAGTCACTGATGCATAATTTATACCCTGAGCCTCTGAAGGATGGATTGTAAAAAAGCCAGTGCTGATCAAAGGAATCGTTAATGTGCCGCGGAAGTTATTTGGAGGTTTGACACATGCTGAGTTTTTAAACTAATCTCTTTGTGTAAGTTCCTTGAATGCTTCTCGGTGCATTCAGTGAATACAGATCTCTGAGAAAAAAGTTTCTTTGGGTTTCAGAAATGAAACTACTGATCAAAAATGAAACAAAAAGTTAGCTGAAAACTTAAATAGGGCCAAATTAGTCTCAGGTGGGCAGGATTAAACAGTGTGAAGCAGATGGACAGTTTATCTTTAACCAGGTCAGGTCGACTTGCACTTGCAAGAGAGAAAACCTAAAAAAATTCTCAGGAGAAAGCAGATAACATAGATGGGATGTTCACAAAATGAGAAGGAGGAAATGACGGAACACAGCGAGGAGAAGCGATAGGACCAGAAGGGGAGGAAACGAATAAGGAGGTAGCATAAAACAGGAATGGACAGCTGAAGCTGGAGTTTCAACTACACAAATTTCCAGCAGCATGTAAGGAGCACTGGGGGTGCTATGAAGAAGAAAGCTATGCTCACTGTGAATTAATTTTGTAGTGTACACCTAATGTGAGATTCAGCAAAGCAGCTTTCAGGTGCTGGTAGAGAAGTTGCTCCGATGGTTTGGGCCTGAAATTTTGCTTAGTGCTCCAAACCCCTTTGTACTTATTGCTTCCCTCACCATGACTGAATTCAAGAATGGTGTCACAAACACCATCTCTCAATGGCTGAGATTTCATTATTAAGCTCTCTATTGGTATGATAGTCTTGAAATCACATCATACCAATGCTGTAAAAACATTACTCTTGTACTGAGAAGCTGCAACTATAATCAGGATTCACTGTGTTGGATATTTTACAGACATGTGGATATTATGTGATTCATTGCCTGTCCCAAAGAGGTTATGGTATATAGAGACATGTAGACAAGTCAAACATACGGAAAAGAAAGAGTTATTTTTTGTTCCACTTCGTCAATGTGGAACTGAAGCATGTTAAGTGATTTGTCTAGAGTTCCATTCATGAAGTGTAGAAGATAGGGAATGGACCTGAACCTTGTCTAGTGTCAGGTCTGGACACAACAAATTAAGAAAACTGGTGGCTTGGATTTAATCTGAACGGCAAAAAGCATTCCCCAAATTCTTGAACCAACTATATACCCTGCTCACCTCCCACTTTGAAAACCAGAAGGCTGCTAAAACACAAACATGCCATAAAAAACCCATCTGAAATAGGTTGTACACAGGCCTATATATCTGAAGATGCTATCCTGGCCTGTCAGCACTCACCACTGTTGCTGCGTTTCCTGCTTATGTCAAGGTTGCCTGCAGAGCTATCTCCTTCCTCAGGAACTTCTGCCAGGTCAGCTGTCTGCAGGGACAGAAAGAGCAAATAAGATGGGATAAGCCAGAAAAAGTGAGCAATGAGGTGATATAAGACCACATAAGAGCCTTTGGGGAATGCAGTACTTTGGTGCTATCAGAGCAGAGCAAGTCAGCCTAATGGAATTGCAGAAAACGCTGTATCTGGTGATGCACAACAAATACCTACTTCACAGGGAGCAGTGAAAACCCAGAAAGAACTCCAGACCAAGTTTACACTCTGGAGTACAAAAGATTTCTGCAATATAAAGTGAAGTGAAAGTTAAGAAACAAAGGATTATGTTAAAAAATGTAGTTCTCTGTATAAAACAAAAGGGGCTTGGGGGAATTTGTATACCTCCAGGTATACCAAACATCTATCTACCAAGGAGACTGGACATTTGTTGAAACTATTGACTATTAATTTATTAATCCTCGATACATTATTCAGTAAAACAACTGTAATATAAGGGTGATTTAGTTCTGTTAATATGCTGTGGAAGAACAAGCTGGAGCGTAATGGAGTTGGTGAAGTCAGTCTTTAAATATCTGCCCTCACTTTCTTTTCAAACAGTCATCTGGCTGGTATGGTTAGGGAAAAATGAAAGCCAAATGTTGTTGTTAGAATTACTATGATTTCTTATTTGTACCTTATTAATGTCAATCATGATTAGGGACCCATTGTTCTAGGGTGTAGGAAAACATGGGATGACATAATCTGAAGCCTCAGAAGCATACTCTGCATAAGGCATGAGATTCCTTAGTTGGGCCGTCACCTTCTCCAACAGGAACCAGGAGCTGCTCCAAACAACTCTGTCCGAATCTGGCTTTACAGAGCTTCAGTTTCTGAACTCTCCACACGTGACTATTTTGGGTAAAACATCGTTTAGAGTCACAAAAACCCCAAACATTGAACTTGAGTCAGGTGCTCTCTCTAACATGAAAAACTATAAATCCTTATATGCTCCTAAGCTTTATTTATTTCTCATTAACAGGACTTAAAGACAAATGGAAGGACTTAACTTCTGTGACACTTTACAATTGTACCGTACACATAGCTCTGTACATTGCTTTGCAGACCTTTGCCTGCATTACAGGAAGAAAAGCCAAGTGAGCAACATTCACTGCTTTTGTTCAGGGGCCAAAAAATCTGAATCGCTTTATGGATTTTTCTATGTTTTTTTCCTTTTACTCGTGTTGACAAAACGTCTTTTTATAGAAAGTACTTTGACAATTTTATTTCCCCTGTCTAGTACTTTCCTAGGTACTTCTCCATCCAAGGATCCTAATGAACAAAGAGGTTAAAAGTAGATTTATGCCACAGATATCTTGTGATTGTCTTGTTTCCCTTGCTATTTTAAGAGCCTTCTACTTTACTGCTTTGTTATGCTTGTTTTTAGACTCAGCCTGTTGCAGCAGGTCGTGTTTGTCTTGTATCTTGCACAAATCGGTCACCTCTGGATGAGAAGGCACTGCAATTGCAATGCTAACACAGAGTCAGTGCAGAGCATATTTAGGGATTTCCAGTTACTGAGTGGAGAAAGGAAAGGCTGGCTTTGTTAAAACAGTAAGTCCCAGCTATTTGCTACAGCATGTTCCTCAGTCTTCAGAGACTAGCTTCATAATTGCTGAGCAGCTTCATATTTTGTTGGGTACTACTGCATTTGGGATTTGCAGTGACTGTCTCTTCAGTATATACCTCATCCAAAATCTCCTGACGTGATCTCAGTTACTGTAATGATTTTTCAGTCAAAAGCTGGTCTAATAGAAATGATAGAGGTACAAAGCTGCTCTTGAGAGGAGTTGATCCACGAAAAACTAACAAGAACTGGAATTACATTTACATCACCTCAAGTGACTTTCTGTATAAATGTGGGTTGCAGAAGGACATTTTTGAAGGAAGCAGTAGGTAGTAAATCTGGAGCATATGGCCACTTTCTTCTGTGGGAAATACAGAATCCGGGCTGAAAAAATCATGGTGGGTGAGTCCACACTGCTCAGTCATGTTAAAAATACCTTGACTAGTTCAGAGCAAGACGTTTCCTTTACTCTGTGCAGAGACATGTACTACAGCCCTGGAAGTTTCATGGCTGTAGAGGCAAGGCATAGCTCCTAGGCTTGTCACCTGTGCTATTTCAGCAGGAGCAACTATACTGCTCTGACCCAGACCTAGCCCTCTGAGAGCTTGGACACCACCTGCGAGGTGAAGTAGGATCCCAGGTGTCACCATGTTCCTTGGTGTCCCAGATTTGGTGACATGGCAGAACCTTGAAGGACTCCCCAGCTCACAGGGCTGATGCACAGCCCAGGCACAAAGCCCTCTTGCTGCTGTGAGCCTCACAGCTGCATCGCTACTTCTGCTTTGAGAGCAGCACAGAAGTGAGGACCACTGGGGAAAAATTGTAGTCCCAATGCGTTATTAACTGCACATGTGCTGCTAGGTCACATGCTCTGGTGCATTTTTACCTGGGCTCTGAGGGCTCTGTGTCACATCCCTGCTCTGGTGACTTGTCAGTGCCTGCTCCTGGATCGCACATCACAGTTGTAAAGTTCCATGACTCCATCATTAGGATGAGGGTTATGTCTACCCCTGGTTTTTAATCCTTGTCTCAATCCAGAGGCTTGCATTGGCAGAAGTTACGGGTTTGCATGTCTGTTTATTCAGTTATCCAACGTTTTCTATTTTCTGTATGTTAACAGGTTATATTCTCTCTTAGCCTCAATACACTGGAGAAATTCCCGTAATGAACTTGTGTTCCTCATTCTACACCCACACCCCACCTAGTTATGATCAGCTGCCTAGGGCAAACTGACACAACGTTCATGATTTCTACGCTTCAGTCGTCGTTCATAATTCAACAGAATGCTTTATTGATTTAGAAAGCAATAATTACATTTGTAGAACTTCTGTTTCAAAGTAAATTAAATAATTGAAAGAAAGAACTGTAATCACAATGCGACAGGTGGTAGAGTCACTCTGGGTTTTAAAAAAGAATGGAAATGACCAAATTCCTTTTAAGGCACAAACAAGGGTGGATGTAGGACATGTCCTCTAGTAACTCCCTTGCAGATTTCACTTCATTCGTGTTTAAATTTATTTGTCTTCTTTCCCGTCTGACACAAATGGACATCTATTTAGAGAACACCCATACCACCTGAGTTTACAGTTCAGCCATGTGAGTGAGCATATATTTAAGTACAGGGAAATGTTGTGCCAAACATAGACCAGTATTAGCACAACTTTATATTACATATGTAAGTATGTCCACTGAGGCCTGGAGACCAAGTCTCATTGTCTCTATGCCTGGTGAGTTTCATTCTGCGCTGAGTGCAGGAGAGATTGTCAGATAATGGGGGTTTGGTTTTTAGACATGACCGTCAGCTTTAGCCTCCAGTGTATTCAGGTGTGATTTTTTTTTTTAATTTATTTTTGTACGTGGAGGGTGTAGTGGTGAGGTTCTCTTGGGGAAAAAAAAAAAGGAAAAAAAAAAAAAAGAGAGCCTCAAGCATAGGCTTAAGTGCCTGTTTATGAGAGATGAGAGGCTATGAAACATTCTTTCAATACCATGAATGTGCTCCTGATTTCGTGGGTCCCAATATTGTTGAAATGACCATTTCTATAATGAAGAAGTTGGTAATGGTTACTGTTGAACTAAGTATGGGTTTAGCAAAAGCAGGGCTAAGAGAACTATCATTTCCCTTGTCCTCTTTCTCCAGCCATTCTGTCATGGTCCTGAAGAAAGTGACTTCTATGAGGAGACAGTGAATGACAAAGTAACATGAAGGTGAAAATCTCCCTGTCTGGATACAACAAGCTTGGCACACCTGACTGTATAGGGGTTTTGGAGAAAGAAGTCCAAATCTGTGATGCCTCTCTCCTGAGTCTACACTGGGCAGGGGTGGAGGTGCCAGTCCATTGCCTTGTTGCAGTAGCAGCCGCTTAATTTTGACTGGGCTTGTATCATGGAACTTTTACTTTTAAATCTAGGCTCTGAGGACTTGAACCCATCGCTATCACTTGTATGGAAGGTAAATGCCCACCATCAACACCAGGCAGGATTCATCTACTCCAGCACGACAGTTAAATATTTCTGTTCCACTTTTACACATATGTGCAAAATCAGAAGAATATAATTTCCTTTTCCAATCTGATAAAAGAAGATTATTAATTTGATTTGTATTTTTCTCTTTTTTCTCAAGAGTAATATAAGACACTTAAACCCGGAATTTGCAAAATAATGTGGTTTCTGGTCCCATTTTGGTAGCTGAGTGAGATACTTTTTTTTACAGTTTGACATACAAGTTTTGTGAACTCTGATACAAACTCCTGTGAATGAATACAGAAAGAAAATGGAAGATGTGGGATACTTACAGAGTTTCTGTTGGGAGAGTCAGATCCACTTCCAGAACTGCCCTTTTTGTTTTTTTGGGCTAAGGAAGTCCCAAAGCGGAGAGTTTCATACACAGGGTCAACCTTATTTCCACAGGCTGCAACAGAAGGAGCAAAACATACATCAGTCCCTGGAAGATATTTCTGGTCATGTTCCTGCTCCACTTAGAGAAACACTTGCCTCTACCAACATGTTGGGGTGTATGCTTAGACACAAGTTGAGAGACTATCCTGATAAAAAGTGTTTGATGAACTTAATGGAATTGGCTTCTGCTAGCGATTTTCTGCTGCCTCTCTGCTCCTATAAAGATCACCCTCCCCTCATACAGTCTTTTCATGTCCCTGTCAATGCATTGTCTCTTCTTGCCTGCTATCCTCCTTCTCTAATCATTGCTGATACTGCCTACACTGAGGTAAGGAAGACAATGTACCAGGAAGCTTTAATCCATGTTTGATGCCTCTTCTTACCTCTGACTTCTTGGATTGCTCTCAACAGTAGATGTTTGAAGGGAAAAACCCTGCATTGTGCCTCAGCATCCTTGTGGTATGAGTGGGCCACCACCTTTATCCATCTACTCTCACAGTGCTCCTACCTAGCTAATGTAGATAAACAGGATGGCCTGGATCTTCCTTGAAAGGCACTGACATCCCCGCTATGGGGCCTTATGGGGTCCGGAGGCAGCTGTGAGTAGGTGCCTGCTGTTGGGAATGTGCTCCAGGTTACTCAGCTCAGTCTAGAAGCAGCCAGAAAGGCCAACCACCCCATTGGTGCATGTCTGTTCAACACTCACTCCCACTCTCCTTCCTAGCTGGCCCCAAAAGTCATCTCAAGTGGCAGAGAAATGGACGCCTCCAATTTGGTTCAAATTCTCTTCTACATACTGCGTTATTAGACCTCAGCATCCCTTGCAGTACAAGGCGGTAAACCCATAGAATACAGTACAATTGTAGTACTGTGTAGAAGGAGGGAAATTTTGGCCAAAGTACTGAGAAAATACATGGGGTTCTGAATTTTGATGCACAAGCACACCTCATTCTTCAGCCAGAGTTTTTTCAGAATGTTTCTATTACTTCTGACAAAAATGATGGATGTTTTTTAGAAAGAGAAACTTAGATGAAATCCACGTAATTAACTCAGGAACCAAGTAACATCCCTCCAAAGCCAGACCAGTGGTTTAAATGCCTCCTGCTGTTTTGCTCTCTCTGTCTCTTATCTTGTTGTTCCCAGCTTACACCTTCACCTCAATATTCCAGTATTTCTTCCCATTGAAACCTTGATCTCAGATACTACTATAAACAGGGTAATTGATAAGAGGTTTTATGTACGAGGTTTTGAGTGAAACACACAATAAACACACCCTCTCCTCTTCCAGCTTTGTGTCTTTGAAGTGGTCCTTTCCTGAGACGGCAGAAGGATATCCAGTCACCGAAAGGAGCTGGAGGGCTGTTGAGGGTAAATATCACGGCTGGAAGTCTGCCGCTGCTGCTGCAGAGCACTGCCAAAGGGAGACTGAACGGAAAAGCAATCAAAACCTACCAATAGGCATCACTTCTTTGATGCAGCCAAACTGTTCATGAATGAGTAGTGGTGAGCTGTAGTACCGTCGAAATCCCTTTGGCTGGAGGGAGAGAAAGCAAAAACAACTGAAGTGCATTGCTGCCATGATTGACATAGTAGAAATAACCTCAGCTCTTCAGCTAATGGTATAACAGTGTGGCGAGGCTCAAAATTTGCCTCCTGTCGCTGAGTCACTGTGGGGTTTAGAGATCAGGGATTTAATTGATTTTTCTCCCAGAAAAAATAGTTTCCTGTATTTATGTGGAAGGAGGGGCTCATTTTCAGCTCCTCTTTTTCTTTTGTCTTACACAAAAGCAGCACTAATTGATTGCAGCAGAAGTGCTGAATCATTAGAGGTTCTGGGAAGTTTCGTTCTCCCTTTCTTCTTATGTAATGTGAATTTGCGTTGTTTTGCGCTTGCTAAATATGCAACTATCCTTCCTCACCCTAACTCCAAATGCTTATGTTCCCACATATGCACTTGCATAACCCAAGAATTTTAGAGCCTTTCTATAGGTTTTTCTAAGGTTTGCTGCTGACTGCAGCTTCTACTGCTTTTTTGTATTGTAAGGTCAAAAAACTCCCCAAGTCATCGCCAGATGTCCTGTCAACGTCCATTTGTAGAGAAATGCACTATAACAACACAAGTTATGCCATTATGGAATACTACAACATGTCCAATAATGGTGCCCTATACCACACTAAAACCCATTCTTAGAAAGTTAAACATTTCCTGTTACCTCTGTATTTACTATCTCAGCTAGTAAGTATCTCAGGCAAAAGCTGAGTACCCAAAATGAAGGTGCTAACATCTAAGTCTTTGGAAAGGCCCTTCAAGGCATTCAAGAGATTCACAAACGGTGTCTCAGATTTCTAATCTTTGCAGGCTGTGAGAACTTCCAGCCACAGTGAGAAGTGGAGAAGTCTAATGGAGATGTGCATATTTTCTGTCTTGTACACTCAGTACACATCAAAAAATGATAGACAACTAGTTCTTTTGCCAGTAAGCTGCAGCATAGATTGAGAAGGAATGAGGGGATTGATAAATTTGGTTTCTTACAGGAATAAATTCCAGATTCTCCGTCCTCAGTTTGCCCCCAAACTAGATCCAGACACAATACAAGCTCATAAAACTCCCGTGACTTTGCTGGATGACTGCCTGCTGTAAATGTGGCCTCTACTTCTCTGCTTTTGTAAACTAGTGACCACAAGAGCTGAGACTGGAATAAAAAAATGCGTGAAACAATTCACGTGATTTATTATTTGGCTTGTCCAGGGCTTGCAACGAGGTCATTCAGCTCTTCACAGACCAACTTCCTATACCAGAATGCCTCACACTAGGGTTATGATTATGATTTAAATGCATAAAGATATGCCTTAGGTGTGTGAACAACAATAGCTTTCACTGAATACTCTTAGAGAGAAAAGATCTTCCCAGTGAAAGGTGGGTTTTCTAGCCTTTTTGAAGTCAATGTTTGCATTTTTTCACCATTTAACACAGTAAAACAGTTTTAGTTCATATTTGTTTCGGGTGCCTTAAGGTTGAAACAAATCTGAGAGTGTCTGAAACATGAATATATGTATTCAGTTTTCATATTCCAAATCACAATTTTTTAAAGTTCTTTTTCCAAAAGTAACCAAAAGAACCATATTCCGATAAAAGTCATCAAATTGGTTTAGAATCATCTCAAACACAGTGTCCGGCCTTTGCCAATAATGAGAATTTGCTGCTCAGAACGTGACCCAGGCACTAAGGTGCTGTGTCCATACAGGGGCAGATCTCCTCCCAGTCTCTCCTACAGACTGATTTCTTCCAACTTAGTAGTGTCTCACTGCAAAATATCCTTGGCTTCCCTTTTAAGATGAACTATGTTTTCCTTCAAGCCCTAACAGTGGAAAAAACAAGATATAATTTGCAGGATTTTTAATTTGTTAAACTCCAATGAAATATTTTGACTAATCTATAGCATTCCTTGAGAGATTTACAGTATAGCAAGCACAGTTTAAATTGAGGAAATTAATTCTGTTATTTAGCTAAAATTGGATTATTTCACATCCATAAAGCAGGCCAGATCTGTGTTTAGTTTTTGTTCAGGTTTTGAGTAGTAGCCATTGCCCAAATTGATAACAGGGCACCACCTGGCTTTACTTTTCCTGCCTCAGTAAAGTGACCTGGTGTCAGTTCTGTTAATGCGCCAGCTAAATGCCAGCCTAGGGGTCAGGCACGCGAAGTGCCTCCAGCACAAGCTGGTGCCTCCCACTGCACTTGCTGCCTTGAGCTGCTCACTTACCAGCTTGCCCATGCAGCGCTGTTGTCCAATACTGTCTGCACACTTGTGGTGGATGCTCATCTTACAAGCCTTACAGCGCAGTCCATGCTTAGCGTTTGTCCCTGTGAAATGCATGGAAATGATTTAATTAGACAAAACCAATAGTTTCCATGCATTTAACAAATGACCTGAAAGAACCGATGGGGAGATCAGTTGCAGTAGGGTAAATATTGACAGCATTCTTCTTGCATACTTTTTTTTAATATACATTCACACATGTCTTGTCTTTACAGCCTCTCCATTTTAGGCATTTCTGCCCCAGGCTCTTTCCTAGGCTATTGCTGCCTTTAGATATATATTGGATTATGCTCTGTTGTATGATAGTCTTATCAGTGACGTCTCTGCCTCACGAATGTCAAGCAAAATCCCTTTCTTATTTTGAAAGGGCTTGGCGTGAGAGCTGTGCACGGCTGAGGGAGCCACCGAAGGAACACCCAGACTCTGGAGCTGCCCTGGGGAGCCAGGGACTGGAGGGCCAGGTTTTGTGGGTAAGAGGTAGCTCCAGAGGTGTGTGAGAGGACTAAACCTGTTCTCCTACCATTGCCCACCCATGCACTCAGGGACTGCTGCTCTCACCTCCCTGGGCCAGTGCTCAGAGGGTTCAGGAAAGGGTCCTTGCACATCACTGAGTGGGGCAGTGAGGATGTCACGGGTCTGACCTTGCTCTCCTTCACTGGCAGTGGAAAAATTTGGCGTCACAGGTAGAGGAGCTCCAGGAGAAATTTTGCCTTACAGAAGCAGACTTCTCCCTCTTGGGCGACAGTTGTTCTGCATTATCTTCGATGTGGACCTACTTTTAAATGACAGAGCCAAACCTACTTGCTTCCAGGCAGGAACAGTCACTCTCATTCATACATCCGTAAGACTTTCTAAACTATGCAGAAGCAGATAAGCTGCAGCAACTCTTTTATCCCCACAGGACTGTATTAATGCACTGAGTAAACAACGTGGCAGTTCATTATCATCTATTGTGAGAGTGAATAAGAAACAAGGCAGTAAAAAACCCCCCCAAAACTCCTGGCATTTTAACCATCCCTCAATAGTCAGACATGACAGGAATATTAGTCAGAAGGATCCTGCATCTGAAAGTACTCATGTAGCTCTTGGTTATTTGAGTAGTCAATGCCATGTACATGCTGCTGACTTCATTCAGTGAAATGCTACATCTGAAAGAAGCACTTCAGGTAAGGGCTCATCAAGTTGGTGACAAAACCTGGGCCTTGATAGGACTGCTTTCAGGGAAGAGGTCCCTGAAGCGGCCACTTTCAAGCCAAACAGAGGCAGGCTGGAGGAGTTGCAGTGAGCCGGGCTCAGACGTTTCACTTGTGCACTTCTTGTAGGACAGGGAACAAACATCCTTCCCACCTTCCTACTGAGACTGCTGGAGAGATGGGGAGTGAATGGATTTGAGTGTGGTGTGCATCCCAGGGACTCCCACAGAGTGGGGTCAGCGCCTGCTCCCTGCTTCTTGCCTGCCTGGCCACTCTCAGCTGAACTAATGCATGGCACCTCACTGCTTGGGTGTGTGCAGACGTCTGGCTTCATTCCTGGGGTCTCTTTTCTTAGTAAACACAGGATTTACTAGAAAAAACACATTCCTGGTTTGTTTGTTCCTTCCCGCCCCCCC